ATTGCCATGTTTGAAGCCACCAGTAATTATGTTAAGGTTATATCTCATTATATATCCCATTATATCATATTATATCCCCATTCAAATTAAACCACCAACCAGTTTCCCATTGTTCCCAGATGTTCAACGAGAATTCCATGCGGCCTCCAGCATCAACTCTGGCACCTCCCACAGATCCCTGGGCAGAAAGCGCAACGCTGAGGCTGTACGACCCAAGGCCTCCGCGGGAAATGCGGAGTTCATGGGAAAAGATGGGATTTAACCATCAGACATGGTGATTTCTATGGGATATGATATAATTTATATATTATAGGATCTAGATGATCTAGTGGGATATTACAAAAACCACAACATGATATGTGGATGTCTGAAAATGCGGTATACCCCCATGTTCATCATTCTTCATGGGGAAAATGACGATCGACCATCAATTTTTGGATAAATTTGGCATTTACCCCATGTTCAGACAAACCCCAAAGTACCCCAAAATATCAGCGTTGATCGTGGTCTTCCTCATCAAAATTGGCCACAAAGGTTTGTCTGAAAATAATATAATTAACCCAATATACCCTAATCCTCCATATGGTTTGTCAATGTTTATCATCAGTTTCTCAGAGAAGCCAGTTTGGCTTATCTAGTTCCAGAGAACCCCCTGTTCCATTAGCCATGAACATCGTAGTCACAGGTCATGTTGCTGTCCGGTTTCCCACTGGGAATTAGCCTATGGGAATGACACATGGCAGCCACGACTTGATTGATGAGCAATCAATTGGATGTTTTGTTGTTGATACAATGTGGGAAAAACAATGCCATAAACCACCCATTTGGGAATGGTTTATAGATGTTTATAGCAACTATAAAAATGGTGATTTGGGAGATGGTTTATTATTGTTTTACCCACATTATATCTTTTTCTTGCACCATAGAGTGGGAAACCCTTTCAAGTCATCTTTGAACCGAAGGCAGAGTGCCAAGCCCCGGCTGAGTTGCAACTTCATTGAGGGTCAGGGTTATATGGAGGTTTCCTAAGTCATAGGGGTACCTCCACATCATCCATTTTTTGTTGGGATTTTCCATTTGAAACCATCCATTTATGGGGTGCCCCCATTTGTGGAAACCCATGTGTCAACATCATGATCTACTTCCACTCAAAAATCACATCTACCCAAACTCAACAGCCTGAAGTTTCCCATCCTGGGCTAAGCTGTGCTGCTGGTTGTGTACCGAAAGCCAGGCTCGTGTTTGGATTTCACTGTCCAACTCCTGTGGTACCCAATTTTGACCCATAAGCAGATCATGCCGAGTCTCGTCCGAGAACAAGCTAGAAATTGCGTTGAGGTTGATAAGGTTACACGATCATAAGTCCATGTGAACAAATTGGTCCCAGTGAATGGGGCCCAATGCCCCAATCACCAAGTGAACCAATTTCAAAACCGATTGGTTCCCACTTTCGTCCTTATGAGTGGCTAATTAATGGATACTGATCCTTATGTCCTTTATCAACCCCAACAAAACAATGCGAGAAATGCTCATCAGAAATCACAAACGTTCTATCTCCCATCTGTTGTGTTTTATGAATCTCCATACAGGTTTGTCCGAAGGTCCGAAAGTGAAGGGATACCACCGATATATATATATATATATTACTTATATATATATATTACTCATATATATATATATATTACTTATATATAATATATTGCTTATATATATATATCTCACTTATATATATATATCCATGTGTTACTGTTACTGCCATGTTAATGGGACAATGATCATAAACCATGGATACATGTTTCTTTATCCTTTCTTTTTCAGAGCAAGCCATTTGTTTTCGATGGCAAACAATGACAGTGACGCAAAGGCCAGGTCGCTATACGCCTGAATTATCCATCCACAAAATCCGGATGAGCATCCCATTCTTCATGGTTTATAATATATACATATCGAGTAAACTCTTCCTTTTTTTGATTGTTACCCTGTGGTAATTTAACATAGCTATGGAAAGATCCACCATTTTCTAGCTGGGACAAATCCACTATTTCTATGGTCATTTTCAATAGCTATTTTGACATAACCAGAGGGTACATCCCATTAATATCCCATTGAATCACTATAAAATCCCATTAAACCATTATAAAATTACCAGAGGGTAAACTGTTAAACCATGTTAAACACCTAAAATTCCATGACCAACAAGTCCGCCTTCAACAGCACCTCAGGGTCCCGTTTCAACTCCTTGGAGGCAAACTGGATCGCCTCAGACTGAGGGCCAAGTGATAACAAAAAGGGTATCATACATGGGATATCCCATCATCATTTCAGAGGTTTTGGTCTTTAGTTACAAATATATCATATCAACATGTATAATATATATATATATATATATTTAATATATACATATATATATATCAATTATTGATTCATATTTGTTTGAGGTTTAATTTATATCATGCTTATGTCATTATATCCCGATGATGAAATCAATGATCATTTCATTGGTTAACCATGGATCCCAACTCCACGTGGTGGCTCCAGCATGTTGCATTTACCATGGGCAAGGTATGGGATGTATAGAAAACATATGAGTTTAGTATCTGTGATGCAATCAATCATACAGTAGATAATTCACACAATTGATCAAGTATGATATGCATGTAACTTCTAGATACTTCTACAATATTTTACGAGGGTTTCTCTCACATACAATCTATGTACAGTACTTGAAACCCATTACTACATAATCAGTTGCTTAAACGTATTTACTGAAACAACATAATGATTGGTTTCAATCAACTGTTATGACTTTTCATCATTTGTCATAAACGCAACCGCTACTACCACTACTTATTGATTTTCTCTCAACTGCAGTAAAGCTGCTGCAATTGATATGCTTCTGGTTTTATAATAGTGGTTACAACCATATCAATAACCATATCAATAAGTAGTGGTTAGGCGGTTAGGCTGCAATAATAAACAATTCCTAACCACATGGAGGTTTCCTGAAATGGAGGTACCCCTATGACTTAGGAAACCTCCATATCAATCCCAAAACCTCAGCTGCACGCTGAGGTCACTTGCGCTCACTTTTTTCGGTCACTTGCGGCGCCGCTTCGCGGCCTTGGCCTTGGGCGTTGAAGGCTTGTCCTGGCGATGTCATGGGAAATGGAGGTTTAACCAAAATGGATCAAAATGGAATGTATATGGAATATGGGATATCACGGGATTCATGTGCAATAGGATTTATTTGGAATATATAGTATAATTAATAGGATAAAATGGGATTTGAACCATACGAATGGTGTTTGTTTATGGTGACAAATTGGATGTGTCGGAGAATTCGGGTTTAAGTATCAAACATGGGGGCTGACTTTTAACCATGAAAAATAAGAGGCTTTGTAGTGGATGTAATGGAATACAAAAAACAAACTATATGACTATATATACATAAAAATAGCAAGGTGGGATTTAGGTACCCAGTATGTCCAAACATGGGTTGTAATAGCCGAAATTAACATTCTAACATATTTTAACAGGGAAACATATGATGAACAATCAGCGAAACATGAGATGTGACTATTGGTGTGGGTAATATGAATTTACAATAATTTACATGTATTTACTGAGATTTACCGTAATAAAAAGACTCAAAAATTGTTGAACACGGTTAAACATAGTCCAACAATTGCATAGTCATTGAGGATCATCACACATATTGATCCGCCATTGGGGATCATCAGCACAGGATGAAACTGGGGTGAAGATTCACTACCCAGAGCACTTCCAAGAGAATCATGTCAGATCATGCTCTGGTTTCACTCAGATCACTAAGCTGAAAATCATTGGACATGCTCTGATACCGAAACCAATCACAGAATCAGTTTGTTGGATATGGCACAGTCTCCCACAGTCTCCCACATGGTCCCCCGGTCCTAAAATTTGGACCAATACCCATTTTGGAGATTTCAATCCACGGCGCGCTCGCACTCCTTTGTTCTCGCTTCAAAACACTGCTTCCGTAGCCGTAAGCTTCAGGTTGGCCTGCTGTACGTTGATGGAGCTTGAGAATGCACTGTACACAATGGCAGGTCATGAGCCAACATCAAAGTATAAGGAACTGGAACTGCTTGTTTTTTCAAAGTATCATCCGGAAATTATACACAAGTTGGGTTTGTTTGCTTCTGTGACCTGGGTTTCAGCTCATTGCTGGCAAAATTTTGTCTATACAGTCTATGAGACACCAGCGGAACGTGAGGCTAGGAATCATAAAAATGATCATCCTGCCAAAATCAGAGCTGGTCCAGCTCAAAAGTCAACGACTTAATATATTTACTATCTGATTTCCCATAAATTGTGATAATCCCCCAATATCTAAAGGATACTTCATAGTCGGATAGTATACACCCATAAAATCGTACATGATCATATAATCAACCAGCAGGGGCTTTTTTTTGTCCCTCGGGTGCAGACAGCTCTCAAATCACATAGTAAACGATGAAGGTGGTCCAGGCTGTCATGACGACGATGGCCGTCAAGTTCTGGTAGAAAAGCCCTGTGGTCAGTTCTTGGGAACGGATTCCTGGGGCGTTTTCCATCGGCCCGGGCTGCCAATCATCCCAGACGTGGAAAGAAGCAGATTTAAACGGTTAAACCATTAAGCAGTTGACGATGCACGGTGCACAAATGGGCTGAAGATTGTTTGAAACATTGGTGATTAATTAACTATGAAGTAATTTGGTACTCCTGCGTTAAGAACTGTGGGGAAAATGAAGGCCTCCCAGCCAGAAATGTTGTGGTAGCTCCCAAAGCCAAAAGTACAAAGTCAAAAGCTGCCGTTCTGAACAAGACTCCTTGCAAGATACACACCGTCACCTCATGTCTCGGCTTGCTGGGTTCTCATTTGGTGCTGTTTATTCGAACAGATTCGAACAACAAGTTTCCCCTCGTGGTGTGTTTGGGCTGGTGCTCAATGTTTTGCCACAATCAGCAACACACGTTGGATTATCGTGGATGCTTCTCTATCAAGAGCTCCATATCAATCACTGGATTTCAGTCAAACATGTGCACTTTACGAGTTTGGACAAACAAACTACGTAATTCTGAGGACAGAGGGTTTGGCACGGTTGGTAAAGCGTCCCAAGTAAAATCTCTATGACATCTACCAGCCCCTATTCAGTGGACCTTGCCCTTCAAAGACAAGACACCAACTGGTAAGCCGTCGGCGTACAGCATTCCAAGCACATCACCAGCATGAAAGCGGGGTCACTGGGGAAGAAAGACAGGTGGTGTCGCAAGGTCATCCACAAAGCAATGCAACCTTCAGGGATCATCGTAAGATGATTGGTGGTTGAACAACGCATTCCAGGAATGACAACATTTTTTGGGGGTTTCGAAAAAATTGGGGGATCCCCAAAGGTTTCAAATACTAAAAATACTCGAATTTGGATAATTTGGGGGTACCACCATTTTAGGAAACCTTCGTCTGTCAGTAGGGATCATCATCCCAAATAAAGGGAACGTCATGAAATATTTGAGATCAGCCACCAGTAAGTGGTTCCACCCAACAACAAACCAAACATCACCAAACAACATCAAACAACCACTTACGGATCGGGGGTTGTTCCCTTGTTTTTAAGCCTTATGAGATTAGGTTCATTGTTGGCTTTAACACATTCAGTTGGATTACCTAAATAGCTGACGAAGTAGCCAACGAACTAACTGCGATGGTCATCCAAGCTGCAAGGTGGGTCCGGCAATGTTTTGTTTCGGGTTCAGGCCAGTGGTGAAAGCCATGATTGGTCCGAGGTACTGTATGTGTTTCATTATTATTGATCTGCAACAATATATTATATTATATATATATGATTATATCAAACGTATGTATGATATTCATGTTATTGTCAGAAGAAGGAGTCAACTCATTGCATCCAAACTTCATTGCATTTCAAATTAGTACCATGATGGATTTCTGGTTCCACAACCTGGGAACCCCAACCTCTAAGGACTAAGGGATTTCTTAATCTTTGGGCCCCAACTTTCAGAACGAAAGTTGGCGGTTTCCAACCAGGGAGGAAAATGAGGAAACAAATTTGAAACGACATCGACATCACATGACATCAGCCCCGAACTGAGTCGATGCAGCTGGTTTGCCCAGAATTGACTTTAGTTCCCCCTGTATCTGCATCACATCCCCATCATTGTTGATTAAATTCCCACTACTGTATGTATATTCCCGAACTAATGATTAACTAAATGGAGGTTTCAGTGCTGGGAAAATCATCGAACTAAGTTTAAATAAGGGATTTTCCAGCAAGCCACGTTTGATTGCTGGAGGGAACCCATTGTTTCCGATTAAATCCCATCATTTGGTGTTGTTGCAACCCCATGATTGATGCTTAAATCCCTATCCACCCAAGGATTCCCAAGAATCTAGACCATCATTTTCAAAGGATGTCATCATACATTTCTGATGATAAAAACACAGTAGAAATGGTCAATCCTCATTTTCATACCAGAGCCAAGGCCATTCAGCTTTATATAGACAGTATATATAGTAATATAATATGATATAATAAAATAATAAAATGATTTAATATATAAAATAACAAAATATAAAATAATAAATATGATATAATAAAATATTATATAATATAAAATTAAAGAATACAATACAATACAATACAATACAAGACAATAAAATACAATACAATACAAAATAATATAAATTAATATAGTACAATATGTTATTAAAATATAATGAAAAAAATAATACAATATATTATAATATACTATAAAATAATATAAAATAATCATAAAGTATTACAGTATAATATAATATGATCTAAAAAACAATATAGTATAATACAATATAATATAATACAATATAATATAATATAATACAATATACTATTATAGTATAATACACAATAATACAATACACTATAATATAATATAATGCAATACAATATAACATAATATAAACATATAGTATAATATAAACATATAGTATAATATAAACAATACAATACAATATAACATAATGCAATACATTATAATATAATATAAACATAAAGTATAATATAATATAAAACAATATAGTACAAATGTAATAATATAGTACAAAATAATAAAATACAGTATAATATAATATAATATAGTATAATATAATTTAATATAATACATAACAATGAAATAAAATATAGTATAATACAATACAATATAATATATATATATATGTATAATAGGAAAAATAAGCTACAATATGACATAATATATAATATAATAAAATACAATATGACATAATAAGTCATATTATATAATCGTATATAATATAATATATAGGAACTAATATAGTATCACATTTTGTCCGATAGAAATCCCATGAAATCCCCCTTTGTTTCATGGATAAACCAAGTAAATCTCATGGTAAAATCCCTACTCTTCAATCGCCAAACGACATGCTGGAAGGATGATCAACCGGCCCACCACCAGGGCGCACAAGGGCGCATAGCCCACCAGTGAGGGTCGGGGCAAGCCATCGGCAGTGAACAAGGCGCCCACCTACAGCCATCGGACAAAATCGTTAGTATACTGATTATAACAATGTTGATAATAGATGATAATCGTATAAGAATTATAGAGTTTGTATACTTGTTGGCAATGATAACTATCACATGTATGATATTGTTAAACCATGATGAATTGTATTGTGACAACAATTAATAGTATAACATAGTAGAACAATTATATACAGTTGTTGAGTATTATAAACATGATGTAACCACCAATAATTGTGATAATGATAAGCGCTTGACCATGATATGAAATAGCCCGGCTTTGGCGTTGAATATCATGGAATATCCCCAATTATCTGTGGTATACGCACTTGTGAGTCGATGGCTCCACCCAACATTCTGTGTGTTGGCCACTCTAATCCTGAAAATATCTCACCAAATACATAAACCATAACCCATAGGATCCATGTATGGTATATATGCTAACATTGGGGGTATATTAATGGTAAATGTTACCATATATGGCAGCACCATGGATCCTATGGGTAAGCCAATAATACTCTCCGGCAATCAAACACGGCTGGAAAATCCCCTATATTTAAACTATATTTTCAAACCTCAAACTAAATGGATGGTTTTCCAGCAAACCATGTTTGAGGATCAGGGGGTAACACATGTTTCCGGATGATCCTCCACATGGGGGTTTCCATCAATGGGGGTACCCCAAGTGGATGATTTATAATGGAAAATCCCAACAAAAAATGGATGATTTAGGGGTACCCCTATGACTTAGATTGACTTAGGAAACCTCCATATCTGACTGCATGGTAAGGTTGGCCCAGTGGGGTCCTTCTGTCCAGAATCACCCACCAAGGCGCTGAAAGCAGGACGATGGATGGCCCAGCAGTACCCAAGCTGTTCATGGCACCAAAGACAGGTCCTTGGTGGTCGTTGCATTCAGTGGACAAGCCAGGGTGCCTACAAAGTAGAAACACCAACCCGGTAGATCCAAGAATTATGACCATTTCAGGCATTCACTTCACATTTAACTGGCAACCTTGAAGCTGTGTTCAGATTATGGAGTTTCCGGAATTGTCCGTCTGGCTACACAACTTCCCAGCTGCACAGCTCAAAGTCCGCCCAAACCCGCTGGTTCTGGCCAGGGACGCAAGGGTCCGGAGACGAACAACGCCTTGATTCCAGGGATGAATCCCAGAATGGCTGTGACCATGGCCGTTCCCATTGGTCGGTTAAGCCATGAAGGAATCCAAGCCTTGAGCTTCGACAGTCCTTGGTGGATCTTGCGCCACTTGGTGGAAAAGCAACAAAAAGGTCAGCAAAACCTAAAATCGGAGGATCAAAAATTATCAACTCTGATAGACTATGATCAATTCAAAATCAACAGATTTCTGATGTCTTTTATGTCTTGGACAACCGCTTGCCTGAAGAACTTTCTGAACATACATGAGGATGTATCCCACAGTAGTAGTGACCCATCCAGTACTGGTGTATATCCTTATATCCAATACATAACTGGGTTATTTCATCTGGTTTTGTCCAAAAATCATCAAAAATCGATAGCCCTAAATCCAAATCCACTGATGAATCATCCTTGTCCCTAATTCAAAGGGCTGGGAACCCACCTAGCCACATCGAAGTCCCCCCAGCCGCACACCAAGCGTCGCCCTGGCGCCTCCGTCCCCTCCGTCCCCTCCGCCCTTCCCGCAACGCTGGGCGCGGGCGACTCGGCCGTGGGGGCCGTGGCTGCGGATGTCTGCCGCCCCAAAGCCACCGGCAGAGGCAGCCCGGAGCTGGAGCCTGATGGGATTGATGGGGGAAGGGCATCAGCTGAATCCTCTTCCTTCTCCTTGGTGAAGACGTTCATGCCGACCTTTGGAGAGATCAGAGATCCAATCGCTTGTCCAACAAAAAAACACTTTTAGGAGCTAGAAATGAAATACCCTTGGGAGATTGACCAATTAAAAACACATGTAGCATCATGTAGATTACAAACTCGTGGATTGGTTCATGGGGGGAAAAAGAACATGAGCAAATGAATAAATCCAGGCAACGCCCCACAGAGTGATGCTATGCATGATCATATACCTCAACGATGGAGGGAACCGGAGCAAAATCCTCTGACTGTGGGAATTGTGCTGTGACGCGAAAGCTCCGCATACCAATCTCACATGAAAGAACGCAAGAAAACATATTAATATACAACAAAACTACGCCATTGACTTTTCCAACATTGCACCTAAACCACGGCAACCCGATTGTTAAAGCGTACAGACTACATGGAAACCAAACATGGCCATGTAAAACGGGCATGTTGATTTCGACTGATACAGTACATCGTACTATGGGAAGAATCTCATGCCGTCCAAACATCAATCCGAATCCGCAATCTGCAGGGTACAAGGCAACATATCCTTGAGCTGTTCCATGATCTGCTTCAAAAGCTGGGTCCTGGAGTGCTTTTCGTCCGGCTGTGGAGTAATGAAGAAACTTTGCCACATAGAAGTGGAGAGACCGGTACAATAGATACGATTGTATATAATTATATCTTAGAATATACATTTCAGAATGTCCACTAACAAACTTGTTGCTCGATGACTGGATGATGCTCAACGGTTAGTGTTATCGATTGAGTTGGATCATCCCAAATCAGGATGGATGTTAGGATCGTCTACCCCCAACATCCACTGGTTTAGGATAAATTGTTCCATGTTTATCCAATGAATCTTACCCGAAAGAAAAAAATCCGGGCAGCAAAAGTGGGACTACCCTCTGGTAAACGTTGACATAACTATGGAACATCACCATTTTCAAGTGGTAAATCAACATAAATCAACTATAAAAGGCCATGTCCACTAGCTATGTTCGTTTACCAGAAGGTAGAACCCGCATTGTCATCATTGTTGTTGTTGTTGTTGTTGTTGTTGTTGTTGTTTTCCGGGACACCCCAGCCCGCATCCAGCCAGCCGTGGCTCCTTGGAGACGATTAAGCCCACCAACATGAAGGGAATGGTGTTGGCATGACCAATGGCTGGCGTGGCGGTCATGATCCGTCGAAGGCTATGGGAGTGGACGCGGCACAGCAGGGCACTCAAAGAACCAATGAGGAGACCTGTGGACCTAGGACTTGAGCGAACATCGAACAAATCAGATGGATCTAGAAACATCTGGAAATTGCTGGAAAATCCTTATAACATGAATATCCCCCATGAATGGCTTATTCTGGTATAATTGGGGAAATCATGAATATTAATTGCACAGCTACTTATATTAATTCGGGGCTCATTATTTGGCAAATCCCTCATTACAATCGTTGGTCAACTGGGATTCTGATACTACGATCTGAGAATAATGATCATGATAATCCGCAATTGATATAGAGCGCAGGATAATACCTCCGAACTCATCATCAACCAACACCAGGGTTTTCAAAAAACGCATCGAAGCAGTAGCAAAGGGCACTTGGATAAACTCAGTACCGTAGATCCTGCAAGTAGGCTGATATAACGTAGAAATGGTGTCTATGTCTGTATATATATATATATGTGTATGTTGTATACATGTTATATATATATTATGTATAGTTAGGTATACAATGGTATACATATATATATATATATACATATATATATATATATATACATATATAATGTACACATGATACTATAAAATGTAGAAAATATAAAATGGCATCAATGGGTCTAGCATTGATTAACATCTTTGCGCACCACCCCCGCGTGATCCATCATTGGAGATTATACCACAGAGATCCAAATGGAAAGCCAGAAACATATTCAACAAGCCTCCATTACCAAACAACAAATTCTTAGAGACCCCTCTTCTGCTTCCACCTGGTCCACTCATATCGATGACTCAACAAAAATCATTGTCGCTGGGATGGCCAAGGAACACATAGACCAAATTGGCCAGGGCCAACCACGCAAGCTTCGGGAGTGTCTCAATAGAGATGATTGGCAGGATCCTCAAGGAGCACAGCTTCCCGGGTTGCTGTATCTCGTGGGGAAAGCTTGCGGACTCACAAGAACATATTGAATTGCCTCATGTTCCTTATGAATTATGTCGTGCTTGCATAGATTTAGAATCGTTTGTCAGAGTACAGTGGCCTCAGTTCCTATTGCCGGGGACGGCAATGCGAAATTGGCCAGTGCTGTACTTGGTTGCCGCGAGTACGACAAAATTTATGTACGGGTGATAGTGACAACAATCCCCTCTCAACAGTGAGACACAACTCACATGACCAAACACCAGGAGCCACTGACAACCTGGCCAATCTTAGATACCATGGCTCTCTGCCTGGCCCCACAAAGTGGCAAAACATCAACAGATTTTAACAGATTACAACAGACTACAGTACTATAAACATCTATAAACAACAAATACATCAGATAAACATCGCTCTTCAGCCCTTGGTTTCCCCAGCCAGCGCCCCCCCAAGTTGGACCTGGTGAAAAGCAGGCAGGGCAGCAGCAGCTTGACGAACATCTCCGAGACACCCTTTCTCATCTCCTGCTCCGACGGCTACGCTATGGCTTATCATATGGAGTACCTCCAGACCACAGGGTAATTTATTCGATTTATTGGTATCCTATGGCAATATGCCTATCTTATCACATTTTTTGATATTGAGAGTGGAATTTGGGTGGTTTCAACCCCACTGGAAAAAATCATTAAGTCATACTAATTGGGGATGAACATCCCACAGAATTATGGATGAACATTAAAAAAGGAAACGCACCAACCAAACATGGGATCAACTATTTCCCGTTAAACAATGAGGCTCCAAGAAAACCATATATATATATATATATGTATATATATATATATAAATATATCATTCCCCAATATTCAGACACACCATCTTACCCTTGTCAATCTTGTCATCTCATGTCATCACACTAAGATTCAAAATGTGCAGCGGATCATATTCACCGTGCATTTATGAAGAGGTCCAGTATTCTGACTGTTTGCAGCCTTAGGATGAAACGTCTCGATCCACCTGTGGGAATTCCTTCCCTGGCCTTGTGAAGGATTCCAGCTTTCTGTAGGTAGGCGCCCGCCACACAATGCAGCACGATTCTCCCCACCGCATTGATGCTTGTGACAAAGGCCAGGAGAAACAATGAGGACATGGCAGCACAAAAGTCAGAATAATTTCAGGGATCGAAGATCCTAACGCACTGGTTTTCCAGTGAACCTGTTTGGAATCAAGACGGTGCGTTCAACTTGTTAGGAAATGAGCTAAGAGGATTTCTTCCAAATCAAGACGATTGTGTTTGTTTTGAGAGATGGGGACAGTATATACGTGATTTTCCAGGAATCCGTAGGCCACTTTTCGGAGTCTTAAGCTTGAGCCAAACGCTCGCCAATCCGGTCTGGACATTGATTGGCAGCTAGTTCAATGAACATATCGTGATGCAGCACGTGTAATATATTTTGCACCATGAGATGAGTCTAGCAGCAACAGGGGGATGTGATGACCTATTTGGCGAACAACATTGAGATGCATCATGTGAGAAAGTGATCTGAACATCTGTGATTTGTAGCGTATTTAGAGTGTATCCAAACTTTGCCTTTTCCACTGAACCCTCTTGCAAGGCTGAACCTGTGCATGAATTGATCTTCCCGTCCACAGCGATGAATGGGACTAGGAAGGAATTCCATCATCTCCACTAAAAATCAGAGTCATTGGGGAAGCATCTCAATTAGGGCATATTTTTTGGTATATAAGGGAACACTTACAGGAAACGAGAACAATGACATCCTATATTATTCTATGTATTCAACTAGCTGATGTTGTGATACAATTTCAACAATACATTGTACATATTATATATTATATTATATATAATATACCCTTTCATCTCCTTTCAACATCGAACTTCTCATGTGTTTGGGAAACAGCCTTGGCATCGGCGGAAACGGCCCGCATCCCAGAGCGTTTCATCAGGCACTGCAAGTGCGAGAGCCCCGCCATCGTCAATCCGATACGGTCCTGGCATTGGATGTGACACATAACGATGGTGATTCCAATGGTGATATGGGCATGACATAAGATGATAGTCTCAAGCCATAAAGAGCAGAGATTCAAAGAACAAAAAAAAATGGATTGCATCCACCAAATTGGGTCAACGTTGAAGAATTCATAGACTTGCTATTGGAAAAATATTGGAAAGACATTTCGGGTGAGATCAGTGAGATCTGAGGTTTTTTTTTGATATTCTCGCAAGCACCAACGCGTATAAGCCCGTGTAGACAATGTCCGTGAGGGATACATCCGACCATTACCCTACAGGTATGGCAAATCAGAGGCGCGAAATTCATCTCAGACCATGCGCTTTTGTGTTCAAGAGACAATGATAAGATGATAAGCATCACATGGGTGTGTCTGAAAATAGTGTACCCCTAAACCCAATGGTTAATGATCACTATCCCTATTAAATTGCTATTTCATTGGGAATATATACTCTATTTTCAGACAAACCCACATCTGGCGAGACACATGTCAGCATCTTCCAGCCCAAAAGCTACAAGAATTTCCCCTACTCCGACCTGTCCTGCCATTTTTCATGGGAGTTCCAAAGAACCATTTGGATCCATTTGGAGGATTATCCTACTTATTTTCACTAAATAGAAACCCCTACCTTTTCTTTGATTCAGGTCTTGTCCCACTTATAATTGAGTCATGTATAACCCATAGGATCCATGTATGCTATATATATGGTAACATTTACCATCAATATACCCCAAATGTTAGCATATATACCATACATGGATCCTATGGGTAATAACATGTTATAACTCATAACCCGCTCACAACGTGTTGCGGCTCTCGGTGATCCAGGCCTTCTCGGCCTGCAGTAATTTCTGCATTTCTTGTTTCAAGCGCAGCAGCACTGGGCGGCAGTTGCTGCTGGCCAACTCGCCTGAGAGCATGGCCATGGAACCAACGATGTGGATATGATCCACTCTGGTTGGTGGTGCAATAACCATCTTGAAAAATGATGGAGTTTGTCAATGGGGAGGATGACATCCCATATACGACATGGAAAATAACAAATGTTTGAAACCACAAACCAGTACTGCTCTAACCAGACGCACCATTGAAACACCTCTGGACCTCTGAAACGCCAAGAAAACGGTGTCATTCCACATCGGAATGGCATCCTGCGATGGCTTTCATACTCAACTGCTCATCTGATGGGTCTCTACAGCCAGTGGCCCATTGTTTCTCCCCAGCGCCCAGTGACTGTGATGCACATAAGCCGCGATCAGAGCTGCTTGACAAGGCGTCTGCAGAGTGGCAGCGGCCGAGAGCGCCTGGGAAATGTGTCGAGGTCAGTGAAAGAGCAGGGTTTAATCCTGGGATATCCTGGGTAACCCCAGTGAGGATACTGTAATTCTTCACTTTTTTGGGGTGACACCCCTGGTAAATTAAACCAGGGTTCATTGATCCAGAGGTGACATTATTGGAATTTTTGGGTGTCCATGAACTTAATTCGAGCCCTACCAACATTGCCGGTAAGCCTTCCTACAGCAGGTCACAAACAAGTTCATTCCCAACGAAAAAAAATCGAATAGGATAGAACAAGGTGGTACTATCCTATCATTTCGAAACAACTTACCCTCTGGTAATTTAACATAGCTATGGAAAATCACCATTCAATGGGAAAATCCACTACAAATGGACATTTTCAATAGCTATGTTAAATTACCAGAAGGTACCTGGATGATCCACAGCTGGATGCAACTTGGATCGTAAGCTACCGATGGATCCCATGGGGCCTTGCTTCGTGCTTGAGCACCCTCGCCGCCTTGCAGCGCGCTGACGGCTTCAAAGAAACGCAGGATCACCTTCAACAGCAGCACGGCCTTGGCGCCATTTTGAGGTTGATATCTATCATCTATCGATATGTACCCATCCATCCATCCATCCATCCATCCATCTATCTATCTATCTATCTATCTATTTATCTAAGTATTTATCTATACATATGGTTTTCTATATTCTATCGTTCTATAGTTGTGTCTTTCTATTTATTCTATCTTATCCATCCATCTATCTACCTTCCTATATATATATATACTGAATATATTCCTATCTCCCTATCTACCAATCTACCTACCTATCATCTATCTAGCTATCTATATGTATCTATCCATCTGTCCATCTACCCATCTATATAAATACACATATCTAAATAGCAATCTTTATTGATCTATGTTATCTATCTATAATTATACATGTTACACATATAATATGTATGAAATACATGTTGCTTTATGTCATAAGTTGGTGATTTAGCCAGGAAATATAGAAAGAAACTGGAATGGCACAGAATTTGTTGCGATATATTGGGATATATTCCGCATCTATTTCTGAATTTCAGAGATCATCACGGTAGTAGTGCTGGATACAAACACCCTCTGGTAATTTAATATAGCTATAGAGAACGATCATTTCTAACAGGTAAATCATATGGTAATTCATTCATAAAGGGCCCATGTTCATCCATTTTCCACAGCTATGTTGAATCACCAGAGTATCTACAACTTGGGTCATGCCACCTCTGAGTATGGCCTTAGTTTTCATCGGGGCAACTACCCTCTGGTTATTTAACATAGCAATGGTATAGATGGCCCGTTTATAGATGGTTTACCTAGTAAAAATGGTGATTTTCCATGGCTATGTTAAATAACCAGATGGTAAACTCTATCTTTTGATCCTTTTCCATTCTTGTCTAATATCCCTCTCAAACAAAGTTCTCAAAGGTCGCACAAAGAGGGGTTTTCATGGTTTCCATGCTGTCCTTCTTTCTCGTCGATGTGGCCAACATCCTACTGAGTTTGAGGGGTGCCTATGTTGCCACCAAACTCCATAAATGATATTGAATGGGAGAAATGCCTGTGGCGGGCTGTTGGGGGTCTTAGTAGCAAGGTGGACCCTGATCATCTGTATGTAAAACACATGCCAACAAAAAAACAAACACATGAACCACACAGTTGGATCCATTTCATAGTGATTCAAACGATACCCAAGTGAGGTTCATCATTTTTCGATGACCACTCCCCACCTCTAGGATCACCTTTAGCTACTCACCAATCTGTCACTCCAGGATTACAAGACACAGTTCAACTGCGGGGTTCCCAAAATTCAGGGAGGTATGTATATATATATATATACATACATACATACACTGTATCTATGTGTATAATACATATATATATATATATATATTTATATCATACATATGATATAATTACTATATAATATACACTATATCTTTTTTATGATAATATGTATATATATATAATTCCCACAATTGGATCAGGGGAAGATGTACAGGAAAGCCCCAGGTTTCACGGTATAAGAACCATGGATATCCATCATTTCCTGCAGTTTTTTCCATTTTCTTGGCTCCATCGCTCCATAATCACGACGGGGCGCATGGGAGAAGGGCAAGGCCAAGAGCACTTCGTAGATGTTATTGGAGTTCCTGAGCCATTCCACGATCGATTGTGCATGTCTTGTTTAAAGGCCTTAATAAAAACCCATATTCTGGGGAAAATGTATGAACATGTGAGAAATCCATAGAAATCCAGTGTTTTTGGCCAGTGGAATTGAAACACACCACCATTTCTAATAACCCAGCAGAAATTCTGGGGCGTCGCCCTTGGGAAGGAATGAACATCGTTGATCCTTCAAATCAAGAAATTGCTTATAGCAAGCTGGATACATGTAGGTGGTGATGTAGATGGAATTTTATATGAGATGCCAAGTCTTGCGAAGCATTTACTAAGCACAAGTAAACCAAAGATCCAGGTTTGTCATGCTTTGTCCCAGAGAAGCAATGCTAATATAATCCAACACTTCAATACATTGCAATCGATGATAAATGATTGGATTTTGAGGGGGTTCCCAACATTCTCAAAGTTGAATGCCCACTGGTAGTGAAAATCCGGATTTCTGTTGCCAAGAATCAACGTGTTAATGTACGCAATCGCTCGCGCACAGGGGTGCCGTGCTCCTGAACAAGGTTGAAAAAGATATGCAGGTTGCACTTCCATGCCGCTCGTTTCTGCTCTCAAAGAAAGGATCAAATTCTGTCATTATGAAATTATCATTTTTCTTTCATGCATACGTATGTATATATATATATATATATATATATATTATCATAATACATTATATACAAGATATATCAAAATATAACATTATATGTATGTATATCATATATAATATGTATGTACTATATATAAAATATTATATATAATCCGAATAGCTTTGCGAAAACTATAGACATAGCCCATCACGTCGCTCGGCCACTGGCTGATCTTTCTGGTGACCAATCTGGATCAATCCCATCTACCTATATCAAAGACCAGCATTGGTTAATGATCCCAAATATATGGTGTTTTCATTACTAAAGTTTAACTGTAGTTTCATTCCTTACTAACATCTGGTTTAATATCAATAATAAATAGTATATAAATAGTAAATCACCTATTAAATCCTATTAATATATAAATCACGGTGGTTTGATTCCTTCACCATGGTGACTCTGGGGGTGTTAAAAATTCTTAGGGGAAGGGATCAAAAATATATCATAAACTTATCACAGTGGTAAAGCGTGGTATTTCCTGTGCAAATCCAACAGCCAAAAAAAGAAGGTCCACTTGGTTCTGTCTAAAAAATGCGGTATACCCCCCAAAAATGGCAATCTAAATGGAGAAAATTATGATAATCCATTGGAAAATTGGGGGTACCCTATTTCAGACCCCACTTTGACCACCAACCCCCGAGAACTTGCTCCTTGCCCAACCTCTGCGATCGATTGCGGATCCACTCCATCCGCTTCCAGCTGCTCCTCGCAGGGGGCAACAGTCAAAAAATGATCTCTTGTCAAATGAAGGTAACTCTATGCTTCACTCGATGCCTTGTTTTGCCCTGAATATTATGGTTTATGCCGAGTTTATGCCTCAAAATCATCCAAAATCCAGAGGTTCTTCCACTCTTTTTGCCACAAACATTGCCAGAACCTGGGGTCGCCCAGAGCCCAAATATGAGGCTCCTCGGCTGCTTTGGCCTCGTCTAACACCTCCTCAGCGAGGGATGGAATCACAACTATGGTAAACCTACAGAAAGATGTGGAAAACCCATCGGTTTTCCTAGAAACATGATCTACACATTTCATGGTGTGTTTTTTTTTCCGCATCTATGTTAGTTTACCCTAAGGCCCTAGGGTAGTTTTCTGTGACAGTCAACTGTAGCAAACCATCCATTTTGGGGGGATCATTATAATTTTGGCCAATATTCTTAGAAAGGAAGCCCTGGGTAATCCGACTATACAGGGGGGACCCTGCACATTTTTGAGCATCACGGGATGGTCCATTGGGTTGGCTGAACTTTCAGGCCGCCCGTCCGGACAGGAAACAACGGCCGTTGAAACCTACCTCTTTATTGTACATGATTGTGCCATTAATGTGCCATCCACTTCCGACATTGAAGGTGCAAAAAAAAGACGGTCTTTTCGCAAATCGCTTTGGAATCACTTATTATAGGGGTTTGCCATCGTCAATCCCTCTATAAATAAATCAAGCAGCAGGTAAGGGACATCCATGGGTGGAGGTTGATTTACCCCCTAGTTTTGCCCATTGTTTGGCCGATGCGCAAGTGCCACCTGTTGAATTGCAACAATGTCAACCTCGGGTGTTGGTTTAAAAACAAAAGAAGAAGTCTTGAGTTATTTAGGGTGTTTGATCAAGAAAAAGAGATAAAAAAAAAGAATTGCAACTGATATGGCACATCCCGATCAAACGGCCAAGAGGTTGAGGTTCGTTAGCAAGGGTGAAAGATTACCACACATCCAATGGTACATTGACCTGGGCCTGGTTTACTGATACATTACAAATAAAGGCAATGGATGCTCTGGATATGTATATAGTACATATATATATACATACACATGTACAATTCTGGAACAGTTTTGCCAGGGATGAAACCACAGCCAACCTGATGTACCCTTCAAGCAAATCAGAAAAACATATCATGACAATATATATATATATGTATATATATATACAGTATATATATAATTATATATACATACGATATACACATCAATATTAAGTTTCGAACTTAGATCCAATCAACTAGGAAGTAAGCACCACTCATCTTGTATTTTACCAGGCAAATACATATGTTCCATCCACTGTCCTACTCTCCAAGGGGCCATCAACCGTTCAGTGGTCCGGACCTGGGACAAGAAGGACGTATCCGATGTCTGCCCGAACTTGGGGCTATATTGCATATACAAACGGGTAATATGTATATCTGATATATACTAGCGTATATATATATATGTGACAATGTATATGTATATATATATATATATAATTCAATGATGTAAACAAATCTGTAGACTAGGTGACTAGATCATATCATATCATATCCACACGCAGGTAGCATTCCCAGCCAGCATACACTCCCGACAGTGATAGACTCATCATGTATGTAATCTTGGTCTCTTCACCAAACACCCAAAGACAAAGGAACTATTGACAACACTAGATTAACACCTGCCGATTTACAGTCTGATTCAAATACAATATATCACCAACATGGAATGGTGATTTGAGGTCCCCTTCCCCTCATCTATAGGTAGAGGTCCTTGGAATTTAGATTCGCGCCTGTGCTAATTCTGAGTGGTTTCAACTCATCATTACCCGTGCAGATCTTCTGTCGGCTAAAAACCAAGGTCTCTGTCGGCTCCCAATATGTTCGACACCGAAAAAAGTCCAGGTTCTCCAGTGTCCGCACACGCAATGATTTTAAACAGCACCTTCAAGCCGCAAATCCAGTACAAACATACACAAAAACTCACACACCAATCAACTTTTTGGTATGATTTTCCATGATTTCTCCATTTTCCCTCTACATCTGCATGTATCTGGAGGATTTCCCCCATCCGTCCTACCAGCCCTCAAGGCCGCCCAACGCTCTCCACGGTGCGCCGTGAGGGGCGCGGGGCAGCGGTAGCCTGCAGATCCTGGTGCCAACCGTTGTACCATGGGTCCCATGGAGGTTGTACAACGCTTGTACCTGGTTAATCTGGATGTTATAACATGTTATAACTCTTATACTCCACTGTCAGACTGGTTTCTGATGATGTTTTGGGTGTTTGATTTAATGGATCAGATTTGGGCGGTCTGACTTTTGCCTTATTGTTTTGTGGATACGGAGAGCAAGCAGCATAACCTCTGCGACAACGGGAATGGGTGACCATGGTTAAATGTTGAGATTGAATTCTGCTAAAGAAAGCAAAGTCAAATGGATATGGGTAAGAGTATATAACTACCATTGATTATGGGTGGATTTAAAATCCCGTTGACTACATTTGAGATCTACACAAGTGGGATTTGTCATGTCTAAAGATGCTGAAACATGGGAAATACTATAGCGATCAAAAAATGGTATGGTGAACAATGAGTTTTTTTAAGTACTGATTTTTAAGCAATGGTTTACATATGTTTACAATAGCTTTCACCATGTGTTTCTTTTCCTGGTTTTGATAGAAAGTCAATGATGAAATAATGGGCAGATTGGAAACAACACTTGATATGAATGGCATTGAAGGGCACAGTATCCAACGGTATCATAGTCATGAATTAAACTACATATACACCCTCCAGTGAATTAACATAGACCCTGAACATATTCAAGTTTTAGATGTGTTTATATATTTCTATATGTTTAGTGGAAATTCATCTTCGCACCCCCAACTCATGGCAAAGTCGATGTTAATTTACCCCAGGAGCCTAGGATGGCATTCGAATCAGGCAAGCGTTGGACTTGTTCCATCGCCAGGTCAGAATCTGCTCCATGTTGCCCCTATCCCCGGCATATCTCGGCTGCCTCTCTCTCCACTTCTTGTTCAAATTGATCTTCCAACTCCTGGCTGATGGGACAAGTACTGCAGTAGTGGTTGGCACCCCCTGTTTGATGATAACAACATTGTTCTTGTGCTTGACACCAACATGATTTCATGATGGAAGCACAAATTTGGATCATGAACCTCCCATGTCCTAGGCATGAACACACGGGCGGTGAGAGACATAGTTTGGTGCTGAAAAGCAAGTGTTTGCTGGGTTGAAAAAAATGTCTTGTTGATTGTCAATCACAAGTTTGTGTGTGTGCGCTTGAAAACAAACTTTGTTGATGGTTCGAACCACAATAAACCGGCCGTATATCAATCTGAAAAGAAAACCAAAAACATTATATGCAACATGTTAAAACAGGTTTGTGGATTTTAAACGTGTGGCTGATGAAAAAGCCAATGTTTGGTTCAAACCAGCATTTTTGATGGTCAAATCTGTGGGGGCGTCCACCCATATTTTGTTATGGCTCAAACCATCAAACCCAGACTAGTTGATTGGGACATTTGTTTTTAGAATAGTCATAAAATGATAAATCACTGTGAGTGCTTGACAGCAATCTGTTAAACATATCTACTGCCACTTTTTTCAATTGTCAACACATCCATGTTTCAATGAGTCAATTGTTTCTAAAATTATACATATCACATACACAGTATCAATCAATATCATATGTACAATATACAATCATCAAATAGAATAGATTAAACTAGTTGATCTGTTTGGATTGGTTGACTCCTGTTTTCTGATGTTGAAAGACCTGTCTTTTATCTTTAAATCCTCAAAGCATCGACTGTCCAAAGTCCAAAGCTCGCTCCTTGGCCCGTTCCTCCGACAAGAAGAGCTGCTCCTGGGGCCAAGCTCCGCGCTGAAACTCATCTTCCAACCCCCCCCTATGAATGGCAGGGTTGAACTCTAAAATCTGATAATTTACTGGAGGGTATGATATTCATAACATATCATAAAATATCATAAAACTATGAATGGCCATCAAATATTAGGAAATCAGGTGTCCAACCAATGGAATGGCCATCGATGGCCCATGGATATCCAGGGGATGTTTTGCGACTTTTCTGACGTCCAATGGGTGGAATGATGGGCAAACTCATTCCACAAACCAGTGACTGCAGGGATGATTTTGCTCATCAAAAACACCGTGGTAAGATGGGATCCTTTGAGGTCGCTGGAAATTGGCGCTCGTGGATGGTCCCATCTATGATCACTTGGTGATTGGGAGCGGCAAACGATTGGGAGCTGCAACCCTATATAAAAGGGCAGAAGCAAGTACATGACCCGCAACGAGGGATGACAAATCCGACAACAACACATATGACATGGTGTTGGCATGTGTCTGCAAGAACCAGTGGTGGCAAGTGAATTGTAATTTTGCTGACAGGCTGTCCATCAAATAGATTAGTTCAAATCCTTAATCACCTTCGCTGTATGTAACAACTGGTAGAACACATCACTTCGTAAATTACAGCAATGAATCTTGGTATTGGATGGTATTGGTACCTAGTGGACATCCTACAATGAAGGGAATGGTCCCCTCTGGCAATGAAACCTGGCAACGGAATCCCTGAAAAACCAGGTTTGTTGATGGGATTGACCCCAAATCTCCAATAAACAAACGCGGCGGCATGACAAATCACCCGTTTTCATCACGGTGAATCGCGAACAAAATGGGCCATGGCTTCCGGAACGATGTTAAATCGGTACCCTTGGCCCAACTTGGAAGTGCAGTTCCATTATCATATTATATAATATATGTATATATATAATTATATATATATATATACATAATTGTATAGTAAGGGTTATAAGTTATAAACTATAAACCACTTACTTACCTGGTGGCACCTGCGTGCGCTTCCACATCCGGATCTGCTTGTCATTTCCAGCAGTGATGATGAAAGCGGCATCCTGTGGCCCACAGTGGCGGAACCCAAGGGCTCCGTAACCCAAGTTGTCAGGAAACTGGCTTTAATTTCTGTAAATGGTTGTGGACCGTTTTTGAATAGAGTTTTTTTCATTGAAAGCACAATACTGTGACACAAGTCCCACAATCATTTTTTAGAAGATCCAGGGCAACATATTTTTTTCCTATGCCTCAAGCAGCCACTAGATGCTGCAATTAAACAGTGTTTATCTTATGGTTGGGACCCGTTGTGTATGTCTCGAATTATTGGTGTCCTGCCAACTCATACTCAACAAACGTCGAGTCTTGGTGGGTTGTTTTTGAAGAAACTGTCTAACATTGGCGCATTAGTGCATCCATATCCACAATACAGGTTACAACATATTGTTCATTATACTTTAGTTTTCGATATCAAATCGTCAAATCTTATAAATCACAACATCATCAACGTCCGAGCCACAACCATCTCTAGAGATTTTGTCTTGACATGTTGAAGAATTTATAGTGAATCCGGACCCGGTTAAAGATATTTCTATATATATATATTTCTTTCATCGTTTCAGGATTGCCTCCGACCATCTATGGTGAAGTTGTTTGAGGTCACCACAAATTTTAGATCCCCAATCTGCGGGTTTTCCGAATGTCAAAGCTAAAAATTTGAGTGATATGGATGTTTTAAACCAAAACCTTTGTATGATTGTTGGTTTATAAACTCCATTCACGTCCATAAATTAGTTCCTTATATCCCCCTTTAACTCCACAGCCTCCACCAATTACGACCATCATTTCCTACGGAATCATCGGGGATTTAACCGTGAAAACCGCCGAATAAAGAATGGGAATACCAGAGATTTTGATGCTTGAAAAGCCTGTCATACAGTATAAATCCCCTCCGATAATCAAACATGGCCATATATAAAGTCTCCCATTTTATAGATGGTTTTCCCACTAGATCCTCATTAAAAACATCTTCACCGGAGGATTTTCGAAAAAAAAACACGTCTGATGACACCGGAGGGCCTAACCCACCCATCCGCCTGCGACAGGGCCATGGCCAGGATTTCAGTGGCGTGACCTGCCAAGGTGCTGATGACTTCGTAGCTGTCGCAGTCCCAAAGTTTCAACCTCAGCTTCCGGGCGCCACATGGCGGGGGTATTTTTAGCATCAACGTTTAGGGAGGGGAGCCTGGGGAGCTATGACATGTATGTTTCATAGCATAGCTAAACACAACTGGATCAAGAGAAATGATGAATGAGTGAGGATTTTGCCAACAATTGGAATTTAACATGATCTGACATGAAGGGAAGGTTTCCTTCAGGACAACAACTGAGAGGAAACGCTCAATCCGAACCATTCCATAAAGTTGCTCAAATCCTGGCAACAAGGATATGTCCTTGCTCTTTGGAAAATGTATTACTTGCAACTTTATATGTGGGATGATGATTTTCCAAGATTGCCGAGCATTTTTTCCAGGCGCAAGAAACCTCAACGAGCCAACAGCTTTAGGCAGAAATGGGACGGATCGAGAGCATGGGACCCCAAAAAAATGGTTGTGTTTGATAATAATATGTAATAATACAATATCTAATAGGTATTAATATCATAATGTTGCCCAGCCAATAGTGATCTCTTGTCAATAGTAGAAACATTTTTCCGCAACTCCAATTTTTTTCCAACCAAATCCTATGCAGATTCTAACAGAAACCAAACCAAACCCATGCAGAATCTAACAGAAACTAACCCTAATCCATGCAAAATCCATACCCTATCTATCAGAAACCCAACCAAATCCATTCAGAATCTTTCAGAAACCCAACAAAACCATGGATAATCTATCAGATACATATCATGATCCCAGCTATAAGGTTCCAAGACTTTACTATTGGAATGCTGACCCCCCCCTGGATTTTCCTAAAAAAATATTTTATTTAGTGGGGGTTTACTATTATGCAGCTGACATTACAATCAATCAATCTCTATATATATATAGTAATAATGACAATAATCATTATAATAATAATGATAGTAACAATTAATGATTGGTGCAAAAAAAAAGACCACACATTTGCGGCTCCGAAAGTAGCCTAACGGCTTGACACTTGACAAAGGAACATGTGATCACGGCCAGCGGTTGCCAAATAGCGGGTCCCAGGTAGAAAACGAACCTGCAGCCAGCGGATAGGTATGGGTTAATCCATGGACCCGGAATTGTTGTTCTTCCTAAAAGAAGACACGAATAATGATAAGATAATGATAAGTATACAAGTAGGTAACATCTACTGGATGAGTGTTCAAGTGCAATTAAAACATGCCCATACACATCATATATATAATTATATATATATATGAGTAATTAATTACTTAGTGGCCATGGTCTATGCTCTGTCGCATGGACTGCAGACTGTAATTGTGGAAATCAAACAACAAATCCAGTCCTGACAAGAATAATTATATAGAATTATATCGAATTATACAATTGTGCGCAAACAACACATAAACACAAACGTACTGGTATCTGCACGTTCACACGTTTCTATTGGCACGGCAAAACCTTTGTGAATAACGCTGCCCGTAATATTTGATGGCATCAATGGCATCTCTCAAATAATATGTCGAATTTGGTCGGTGGTGTCAAGCTTTCTGAGAAACCATTGCCAAAACACACAGCAACACTTGGTGGCAAACACCTTCTGCAACAAATGTGGGTCAAAGCCGCTGGTAGCCCCTGGTGGACACCAAAAGAGTTGGTAAATGGATGTGGATCTTCAAAACATGGTCCCATTATGTCCCATTCATAGGGACCAATCACCACAGAATAGTGACAGTGAGATGGAGAACTTCCCAGATTGCGTGACAGATCTTTTGGGATGTTTCGGATACTGGATCTTAAAATCTCGAGTCACAGCCACACAAAAGCAACACCAGGTGCGTCCTAGGACAGTTACACAAGGCCACGGCCCGGCTGATGTCGCCTGCATCACTGACTCGTTGTGCGCCTTCAATGATCGTAAGCAATTGCCAAACTGCGTGCTCCAAAGCCTGCTGGGCGAACATGGCTTGGACAAGCCGCCATTTTGCATCCTATCTTTTGAACAAGAATTGAACCAGCAAAAGCTCGGGATGTGCATATGTTTAATGTTTATGTTTGATATATATATATGAATACAATCAGCTAGAGGAGACTTAGTCAACAAAAGTCCGTGAACATGGAAGAATTGAAGGAGGGGAACTTCACCATGAACAAGCGAGGAGTTCCTTGCCAAATCTTCAACCTTGAAAAACAACGCAATGTATTTGACACAGTTCACAGTCAAAGTTAACTTAACATTCAATGAATTCAATGGGCCAGGTGTTGCCCAACAACACATAGATATCTAATCATCAATTGAATCAATGCAGGACCAGTTAACCATCAGTAGGGAAATGATATAGAATTCATTGGGCATCTAGCAGTAGCCAACATCCAACAATGAATGGACATTGAGCATGTTCTAACCTCAATCAGTCGTGGATCTGACCAACAACAAAGGATTCAACCATCAAGACCTGGGGCAGCCATCCCATCTTCAGGTAGCCAGTTTGACCTCCATGAAACTATCGTTTCAAGTGTTTTTTAAGCACTTCAGTTGGTTGGTCAAGACTCAAACTGGACAACATATACGTATGTATAATTGTATATTATATACACGTATAATTACATATATATATATGTATGTATATATTATACAAAATTGATCAACGTAATACACATCATTACAAACAAGTTTGGATATGGTTCAATGTCAGCCCAGAATTATCTATATAATAAGCTCTGGCTGATAATCAGGGGATCAACTAAAGCCCCAAAAAGCGACAATCTGCTGATGCAATTCCACTCCAGTGGAACCAAAGAGGAATTTGACGACGGAATTTGTGAAACCTGGGTTTGTCATGACCCCATCTTGTTTGTTTGTTTTTTTTTGTTTTTTGCTTTTTGGCTGCAACCAAACTATCGTTGGTTCTTAGCTCGCCAATTGGTTTGGTTCATATCCCCATGATTGTTGCTACATGTTCAGGATTCAAATAGTCACAACCATACCCTCCGAAACTCTTCAGGGTGCTGCCCACCCAGTGCTGTTTGCTAGTATATAACCACATTAACTGGGTCGATATATCTACAATAAGCATCCATATACGCTAGTTATATTATAATTATTAGCATTTATTAATTTATTAGTCATCTAACTAAACCAACTTAGCTAACTAAACAAAAAATGATGCTTTAGTATGCTTTAGTATGGTTTGTTTAAAACATGTTTAATCATGTTAAATCATGTGAAATCCCCATTCCTCCGCATTAAAACCCACACATCTCGGCTCCAACATGCGCCTCACGTTCTTGTCCGCCGAGCCCGAGGCAATGAGCTGCGAGTCGTCCGAGACATCCAGTGTCATCACCGGTAAACGGTGACCGTAAAGGGAGAGATAAAACTTCAACCTCAGTCGTTTGAAGCAACAGAAATGGTGGATCATTGGATTGGTTTAGTCGGGAAAATCTTAACCGGAAACCCATGGGTTTTTACCATCAAATTGGTTGGGCTTTCCTGTAAATTTTCCCATCATCCAATTCTATGAGTGGAAAAAATGTGGGTTTTCCACTATGGTTTGATGGTGGGAAAAAACCACTGGGAACCGAAAAAACAAGAAACATGGTGGTTTGATCATGGTTGAACTAATGGTTTAACGAAGAAAAACGGTGACTACTGTGATAGTGGAAATAGTCACCAAAACATGGGATACAATTCAGCTTTGAACAAATGTTGTAAGATGTTCTAACTCTCATCGATAACATACCGTGAAAATCAATAGTTGAGTTCTGACCATGAACCATCAACATCAGACGTGGAGAATTCATCACGAAGAAAGGGGATGTCGAAATTGAACAAATGAGGTAAAGGTCAAACCTATGGTTCACTGGCCCCGCAAAGTCATTTTTGTGGGGTCTCAGGGCACGGTTTGAGGTCAGATGTTGGATCATCTAAATGTTGCTTCAAGCCGTGGAACTCCAGATTTATGCGAATCGCAATCAACAAACAGTTCGAGGATTACAGTGGCCTCTGGTGTCATCAAACATGGCAACGGAAAATTGCTGGGAAAATCACATTCCCTGTGAAATGCCCAGCCTCGTTGAGGATTTCCCAGCCCTGCTGAGTTGGGACCAGTCTGCCAGGTGACGAATCTTCAAAGAGCACCACCACAGTGTGGTTCAAGAGGGCGACATTGATGTATTTACCTTGCGAGATGCTCCATGCTGAGTATGAGCCGCATCATTTTGACATTTATTGTGACATATTGTGATATGTTTTGCCCCACATGGTCCCAGCATGTCCCAGCCATGTAGGTAAATATCCAATTATGATCAATTATGTATGTATGGCATATAGATCTATAATATAACATTTAACATCATTTAACCATGGACAGTGTCCTGATGCGATAGCCGTCTTTTTGGGACTCCAATCGAATCCACCATCTTTCCAGTGGCTGTTGGGTGAGTAGGCCACCGCCAGCAACTCATCTGGTAGTTCTGTGGACCGTTCCGTCTGCTCCAGCAGCTTCACTGAGCTGCTGGAGCCCTGCGTGGAACGGCGGAACCCTGTTGGGGATGAAAGGGGCGGGCCGTAACGGGGGTTCACTGGGACAGATGTTATACATGTTGTATGTTTGTGTAGGCTCAAAGGTGACGTTGTAGGATGTTATAGACTAGACATTATAGACTATATGGAATTTCCGTTTTAGAATCTGTCCGCTGAGTCCATATGTGGATTTTCCGTGTCAATTATGCCGGGGGTTGACCACAGCAGTTCCGAACGCAAAAAATGATCATTCAACTGTGTCAACGCATGTGCATTGGAACCCTATCGGGTTCCAAAACGCTGTAGGTATGTAAATGTTAAATCGCGGTACCACTAGTCGCTGATTGAGATAATGGCTAGTAACCGGATGATAGATACAATACATATTTGATGATATTGAAAATATTTGAAGATGATTCAAACTCAACTAACTCATCTAATCTAACAATAATATTGAGCAATCACTTTGCATCTAACTCATCTGCTCCAGGGATGAACCCAGCTGCCCTGGGACCTTCGTAAATTCGAAGTCGAAGAAACGCAAGGTGCGGTCCGCCGAGCAGCTGACGCAGCCTCGCTGCAAAGGAGGAGGGCAAAGGCTGGCTCTATGGCACCAGGTTAACTGATCAATATCACTGAGCTATTCATGGCTTATCATGTCGAAGGTGATACAACTCAGTCATCAAAAAACAATGTCCGCCCATCTAAGTGGGACTGGTGTCCAATGGAAAATAGTTAGGAACTTCACCATGTCGGAGCCATTTATAGATGAAAAGCATGATTCTCATCCAAGTACCCTCTGGATATTTAACAGTTAGCCATGGTATAGATGGCCCATAGAAATAGATGGTTTACCTATTCAAAATTGTGATTTTCCATGGCTATGTTAAATAACCAGATGGTAAATGGAATATATGGGATTCTCAAACAGATTCCCACTTGGGTGAGGATGTTTTGAGAGTTCATGAACAATTCAATATTCCATCTAGTCCAAGATGACTATCACTATATATAATTATATATATATACACCATCTGCTAATTTAACATAGCTATGGACAATTGCCCATTTATAGACGATTTAGCCCTTAGAAATGATTATTTTCCTCATCTATGTTTAATTACCGATATCCAAGTTGTATTAAATGTCCATTGAATGAATCTGATATTCACATTTTTCTCATGTACTTATTTTGGTTACGTCATGTCATATCCCCATTAATCGCAATGTTTATAAATAATATACACACCATACTTACTTGGTTTTGTAATCATATCATATCATATCCCCATTACTCACCATGATTGTTATCATATTTTATGTCTATAACACCATATTCATGTGATAATAAAATTAATAAATGATAATCACGTACTCACCATTAATGGGGATCATTAATATTACTCAGGCATCACCATCTGGTTATTTGTCATAGCCATGGAAAATCACCATGTTTAATAGGTAAACCATCTATTTCTATGGGCCATCTATACCATGGCTAACTGTTAAATATCCAGAGAGTACTCACCATGAAATTCAGCCGTTTGTTTCACGAAAGCCCAAGGGTTTCGCACCGCACCTTTCTGATCGGGCCGCTGTGCCAAGCCATAGACGGCTCCACTGTGGGCCTCCACACTCTGCGAAAGCCTGGGAGGAAACAAAGGCTGTTCAACGACCGGTGGCACCATTGATGGCCATTTACAATGATATGGAAATTGCTTTGAATGGGTAAAACATAGCCATGTATCAGTATGTATATATAGATATATATATATAATAATAATAATAATTGGCATATTAGACTTTGTCACTTTGTCAAGTCATTGGAGTACCAATGGTCCCACAAGAGACTAATCACTTTTTCCAACCAACAATCTTGGGGGCCCAATAAGGTTGATCAGTCAATAACCATCTGGATGAATGGCCGGTTTTAGGTCGATTCAACAATCAGATTTATCAAGCCTGGCTCCAACATGCGGATGGAGCATGATGGAACAATCAGGACATTTCACAATGCCGATTTGCAGATTCTTGGGGCATCACTTGGCATCACTTGGCCATTTATTTTGGAATTAAAATCACAAAGACTCCCAGGCGAAGACGCAGTACCACTGGTTGGGACCTGGGAAACCCACCCCAGTTGGTTGGACACAGGTTGGACCTCCAGTGACCCAGTGGATTTGCTTCAACCAAAAGGCTCCCCAAGCTGGATATTGTATAGCTCCAGTTTGCCCTCCTGCCAGGAACACGTCACAACCGTCACAAAGGTCATGATTTGCCCTTTGATGAATCATCAACATTTGCATGTTGGAATATCAAAGGAATCCCAGGGGAGCACCGCTCCATAGTCAAAATCAGAAATGCGAATCCGCAATTTTTTGATGCATAAATATAAAATACTTATTATAAACGATGGACACAGATCAAACATGGTAACGGCATAACTTGCGTTCGATAACGGTGCCAATGCTCAAGGTGAGCCGGAAGAAATCGAGTGCAGCTTCCAGTCGAACAATTCAAACCAGAAAAACACTAATAATGAAACATAAACACATACATAAAAAAAATACACTATATAAATTATATAAAGATAAAGTCATTGGAACATATGAAGAGAAAGGCCTCACCTTCGTCTCCTTGCCTTTTTCAGACCTTTTTCACTGTTTCCGAATGTCGCCTCACCTTGGTGCCAATCAGCACATGCTCGTTGCCGGCGATGAAAAAGCCACACAGGCCATAGCCGGACCTGAGATTCAACGAGGCCATCCCCAGGTGTGTTGGACCTGCTGGCAATCTGTTGGCCATATTGCCACTGGATCTATTGATACCCTCTGGTTATTTAACAGTTAGCCATGGAAAATTAGATGGCCATAGAAATAGTGAGTTTTTTCCCATGAAAAATGGTGATTTTCCATGGCGATGTTAAATAACCAGATGGTACATGTATTGCTAATATTGAAACTGTACAAAGCTGGTCCTGAAGATCTCTGTTAAACGTCCATCCGCTATTGGCTTTAAGGACACGGTACTTAAGTATAATTTTGTGATATTTTGTGTATACATATTGTGGAAGATATCATATTTATTTATCATTATATGTGCAATATATGTGCATTATATTGTGTCTTATCATATTAGACTGTACTGATATGTCAGGTGTTTGATGATTCATGAAAATTTGTTGATATCTGATATCCAAACATACTACTATAGGATTATGCAAGCTGAAACCGTTCTATCGTGTTATCAAAGTTACCAAGATGGTGAAAACAACCCAGAACGCCCTCTGCTCTTGAACAAGGCGCGGCATGGTCCTTACACAACGGCCGGTAGAGGCACTCCAAATCTTCACAGATTCCGAACTCAAGGACATAAACCTGGGGCGACATTGACATAGAACACCCAGCAAAAAAGAAGATCAAACTCGGCTATCCTCATAGAACCCTAAAGCAAACAAAGTTTTAGTAAGATGAAGTGAGATTCTTCCTCCACCCCCCTATTTGGCTATCTAATGACCTACAGGAAAGCTTGAGAAATAGGAATGGCTATGCACCTGCATCCCAGTTGGCAAATGGTTCACAAGTTGTTCGCCCATAAATTGGACGCTGACTCCGGCTATACCATGGTCCCAAATGATCCCAACTGATTCCATGCCCCCCCCAACAATCTAGATCGATCGGATGTGCTGATCCTTGGTTTTTGGGTTTGATGGCTTAATTTTCAGCCATCTGGGCCATCTGTCTAAATAAAACCATTATTGACAACCTAAAATCAGATGATCTGGGGCAATTTAGGATAAGTACCCTTTTCAAACCCATCATTGACAGTGACGTCGTGGCGAGGTCGTTGCTACCCATCCAAGGTTTCCGCAAATACATGCGCCATGGTCAAAACATGGTATATGGGGTATGGTTATCCCACAATATTTGGATTCCAATTGCCAAGGAAAACTCATGGGGTCCATCTGGTATACTTACTATTATCAACTTCTTGGTTGGTTTTCATGGGGGGAACCTCTAATCTGCCAGTGGCGGAAGAACGTCTATTGCCATTTTAGGAACCTCGAGGTACCGAACACATCGCGAAATTTCAGGGAATATCCCCACAGAAGATGCTCTGGAATATTGCGTATATATATATATATATATATGGCAACCTGGTGTTGTCCTGAAATTTCGACTGATCTATGGTTTCCAATGGCTATAGCCCCTATGGTTTCCCACCAATTTCCCACCCATCACTCGTGCGGTCGCCACACATGGAATCATCTTGCGCCACTGCCAAAGCTCGAACACCCGTGCGGTGCCCAGCCAACCTGGCAGGGCCAGTGCAATGATGGAAGTCGCTTTTTGGGGATGTGAACCATATTTTTTTGAACCGTCAAACATGGAGATAACCTTAATCATCCACGTGTGTGTATATATATAGAATATACAGTAGAATGCAATAGAAAACAATAGAACTATTATACGTACTGTATAACTAGCATCAAGAACCGAGAAGTTTGACCCGAATGGAGAGTTGCTCACCTTTCCGTCACCAATTCTCCTGGGAGACCCGACTCCAAAGTGGGAGTCGCTTCCAGATGAATCGCCGGCCCTTCCTGGCTCTGATATGGGTCCTACAGGACAAAATGTTGGAAACCTGGTGAACATCAAGATAAGTGGTAAATGGATCTTCATGGATGTTCATCCCCCAACTAACGGTATTAACATGTATTAACAGTGTTTTTTCCCACCCCCAAATCTTTACAGATTGGTTGCAAAGTGGCCCATGATTGCACAAGACTCCCTTTTCGACTGGAAATCTGGAACACCACCGCTCACTTGGCACCTTGTTCAAGAGGGCCAAACATCAACTTGATCATCCACCAAACATCCCAGGTTCTATGCTATAACCGACAAGCAAATAGAGCAGAAAAAAACACTGAACAAACAGTCAAAACTAGTTGTACATTACTTTGTAAATGACTTGTTCATCTTTTCGGCGACTCCAGGGTGCACCTGAAAATGAAGTATATGTACGAGTTGCTGTTGTTTTATTTTTCTACTAGGGCAAATGATGATGATGATGATGATGATGGTGATGATGATGATGATGATGGTGGTGATGGTGATGGTGATGATGATGATATATAACATCATAATATACATATATATATATTACATAATAGATAATACTAACAATAACAAATAATATTAATACTAATAATGTAATAATATAAAAACATAATGATACTAATACTAATAAAAACATAATAGTATAATAATATAATAATACAATAACATAATAATATAATACCATAATAATATAACAATATAATATATGTATATGTACTGTATATGTATATATTATACATATATATATATACACATTGATATACACTTATGTATATATATATATATATGTACACTGTATATATATATACACTTATATATGTATCCAACATATATATATATATATTATCCCCCTTGTACCGCCATTTATCTTCGTTAAGTCAGCATTTTTCATGGTTCAACGACGCCCGTCCGCGTCTCGCCTGGGACTCAGCTGCTGTGATTCCTGGGTGATCCAGGGAAGCGCAGCAAGATTCATCACTATAAACAATAGTTTTGATATCAATATAGATGATATCACAATGGACAATGACAATAGATGTTATCAAACAAATATATAGACAATAGCTTATGATGTTATCCGTTATAAACAAGCTTATGATATCACAATAGACAATAGATGTTATCAAACTGACATAGCTATGGAACATCAGCATCTTTAATAGGTAAACCAACTATAAATCATCCATTTTCCATAGCTATGTTAAATAACCAGAGGGTATCAATAGGTATCAATAGTTTCCTACCAAACAAAAAGATGATCTTCACAAAGGACAGTTTTGAATTTTGAAACATCCCCTTGAAAACGGGAAGATCAATCCACAAGAAACAAGTCGGTTTGGAAAATGATTGTCCCAGGAGAAATGACAATTTTGCCCCAAACAACTAGACCCACTATACCATGATCCAATATGATATAATACAATATGATACAATATGATGATCTAATGCCAAACCAGGAGTTTTGGGTTGGTGTTTATCTATATATTTAAGCATGATTAGGGGGCACGGATTTCCCTATTCGAGTTGCCGGATTAGCCTCAGCATTTCAGGCCCAGCTTCGAACTGACTCCATCAGATTATTCGTGAGGCCCAGCAATGCAGTACTGGTCTTCTCATTCCAAGCCATCGAAAGCGCCTGGAGATCGGAGTTTGTTGAATCTCTGGGCTGTTTAGTTGGAGTGGCACCATTTGTGTAGCAAATATCCAGGATAATGATATACCACAATTAACAAAGGGGGGTATGATATGGTATGATGTTCCACCACGTTCAATCACTTAAAGAATAGTGTGTATATATTCCATTGTATGTTGTGGCTACACATTGACCCCCACTTGAACTCAACACTGCGATCCTTCGGTCCGCTAAAGTCCAACACAGTCTTTGCAAAAAAAAACAATAAAACTGCGAACCACTTTATATCCGTAACCATAATAAACGAACTAAACCGTGGTTCTATGTGGTTCTGTCTGTTTTCCCCAAGCGCTAAGAGAAGCCGCCAACCTTCGCACTGCAGCGATGTGTTTGGAGGTGTGTGATCTCCTTGGACGAATGGCTGTGTCTGAGGTGAGTTTTTTTTCACGATGGAGGTGGAGTCAACTAATTCTAGTCGACTTTAAGACTATGGAAACTAATGAATATTAATGACAACTAATGTTAATTCATGTAAAAGAAGAACAAAACAACCTAACATGATTGCTTGTCAGTCAGGAACTCGTCGATTAAGAGAGTATCTTCTCAAGGAGGGATGAGAACAACGTGGTTTGAAAGCATCAACCCGAATTAATAGGAATTCCTTTATCAAATCTGTCTGGGAGGATACTGAAAACAGCTTGCCGATATGGTGCTAATTATAGAACTTGGGACTACTATTTATGCTTTACATATAATCACATATACTTGGAATGTGAATTCATTGCACCTATACTCCTCAATTAGATTTGACATGGAGCCGGAAAATTAGCGTCAAGCAAATGACTTTGCATGGAAGTTTAGTGAACATGTTCATTTTGGGGATTCCATGTTTCACGAGTCTGGTTTCTTTTTTAACAAGACCCACAAAGCCACAGACTTCGGCCACGTTCCATTTTGGCGTGTGTCACATCATCCATTTCGGATCCAGACATCACCCAGCGGTAGATTCCCTCTGAGGCTGGGTACGTCAGCTGCATGGGAGCCCTCGGCTTCATGTTCGTCGTCCTTCAGTGATAAGGTTGTGGGATTTCGATGGATTTCGTCTACATGTTGGTCAGTACAGATTAGTTCAGTCAGGGTTGAAATTGGTTGAAATCAGTTGAAATCCCTTCAAACACTGGGATGTATTGGGATGTGCCCGAGGTACTAACCACGAATCGCTAATTCTGGCAACATCTTTAAGTGGACGATTCAGGAGGTAATAAATCCAAATTTGACTTCATATTCGGCCTAGGTTCAGATCATGTTGTCTTCAATGCAAAATCTTAGATGTATTTTGGGACAATGAATCGCAAGGTGCTGAATCTGTCAGGAACTGATAACCACCAAATTTTGGACAAGAAACGGAAAAACCGGGGCTCATGGAAAATTGCCATGCAGCAGTCCATCAGGTCATGTTCAGTTATGTTCAGCTAAAGACATAACGCAATCACCAGAGTAGTGGAAATTGCTCTTCATGACTTCTACTTGTTTCCAGAACCGCATTGTGTAATGTCACTTCCCAAGTTCAGGACAAACCTCAATTTGAACGATAAATAAAATCACCATGTCGAACTCCTAATTTGTTGATGGCTTCAAAATTGCTTAATTCCGCATTCTTTGTGGTTCAAATAGGCAAAAAACATTTTTTTTGGTGGTTCATCTAGTCAAAATCCAATAGTTGTGATGGTTCATCTAGTCAAAATTCAATATTTTGGGATGGCCCATTTTTTTCGCCCCATCCCCAGGGCATGCCTTTGACCCCCAAGGGTCTCCTCGGCCTCGTGGTGCTCGTGATCCACGGCATCTGCAGCGTCCTCCGTGCCCTTCCTCGGTGACCGAGTTCTCATCCCAGTGGTTTTTGGAAACGTTTACTGGCCCAAAGAGACTTACTTTTTATATGTATATATATATATATACATATATAATGTATATAATATAATGTTATATTATATTATATTATCTTATATTATATTATATTATATTATATTATCTTATCCGCCGACCCCGGCTGCGCAAGGGGGAGCGCGTTAGGGAATAAGACAGCAGCACCCAGCCAGTAGCCAGCAGTCAATATCCGCCGACCCCGGCAGACGCAAGGGGGAGCGTGCCAGGGAATAATACTTTTGACTCTTGTTTCGGACTACTACTACTACTACTACTACTACTACCATGGTGTTTTCCCATCCGGCAGG